AGTGTAGAAGATTCCTCTCTATTTCTCTTATGCCCAACCAAACTGTTGCCGCTAGTGACCATCTCCGTCGCAGCCTCCATGTCACCATAGATGGGTTGATGCGAGCTCTTTCTGACGTGACGGAGAATTCGTCTCTCGAAGCTAGAGGAACACATCTCGTACTCGTACATCGTCCACCCAGAGTTCTCCCAGCGGTCCTCGTTGAAGAAAGGAAGCTCTTTCATCCCACCACCATCGAGCACCCGTCGACGATGGACTTAGATGGGTTCTTGTTTTTTGTTTAGAGTCCAAGAACTGATGCCAACCTTTTGATCCACACGCGAGTCGCCGTTATTCTTGGGCTTGCGCTCCGTAAAGAAATAGCTCTCCTGTCGATCGCTACCGAGAAGATTCCATGACTCGGTGCCGTAGACGTCGGCGAAGGCGACAGTGCAACCAGGGAGGGGTGTGCCAACGACCCATTTGGCAAGGTAGTCGACCATGAGTTCTGGGAAGGAACCTGTAGCCTCTTGGAATGAGGTCGACGGGCTCCATGGATGACAAAAAACGATGGTTGTTTCTCGAAGATGATAGGAAATGGAGGAGAAGGGAGGAGAGGCGAGAAGAGAGAGTGAGAGTGGAAGAGGAGAGCAATACGCAGGCAGTGGACGGGTTTCAAATTACAGATTCCGGATTCTAAATTAATTAGATTAACTCATATTATATATTTAATTAGAAATTAAGGTGCCTAGATACATCTCTCAATCAATGTTAGTGATCATACAACTTACCTGCCGTATTGCTTCTTAAGTAGCGACTCCAAAACATTAGTATATGATATTCTCATTTCTCCTCCCATTCAATTGATCTAATATAGCAGACATTGCAATTTAATTTCAAAATAAAGTTTGCATTTGCATGTGGTACATAATGTTGTCTCCACATATTGCTATGTGCAATTTTACTTGTTATTTGCTTTTGAAAAGTTGCATATCCTTGATAATGATAATGATCTATATGATCTATAATGATCTATATGATAATGATCTAAGTGAGAAGCAATACCGCAAGTTACAAGTTGTATGATCATTAACATTGATTGAGAGATGTATGTAGGCACCTTAATTTCTAATTAAATATATAATACAAGTTAATCTAATTAATTTGGAATCCAAAATATGGAATCCGAAACCCACCCACTGCCTGCCTCTCTGTATACGTATACGTGTATCGCTCTCCTCTCCCACTCTCACTCTCACTCAGTGTCTT